GTATTGATTTTTTCCCTAATTTTTCCTAATTTCTATTGGATCAAATATCCGATAATATAGCACATCGGATATGGATTTAATAAGCAAATATCCAGTGGATTATCGGATCGGATCGGATCATTTTCTTATCGAATCGGATATAGACAGATCCAATTCATATTCGATCCATTTACATGCCTACTCTCATTGGAATCAGAACATAGGAGTCATGACGGATTATGACTTCTTGCCAAGATAGGATACTAAACCCCGACCAAATCATGTACAAGGTCAGGTCGTCCAAGTGAAAATTGGGATAGGCCTACTAACTAATGGTAAGGTCGAGGTCCTTGACCCTAAGAATATGCCCTCAAGGTGAACCAAGGGTCTGATGAGTGCGGGGCAGTGAACTCACGCACTTATAGGTTCACCGTGGATGTTATGGTATCATCATTGACCCTCGTGCACTTGAGGTCCTGAACAAGGTTAGGTGCATAGTGAGTTCTAAGGCGCATGAAAAATACATGCACATATAATGGTCAAATCATCTGAAGGGATGTCTGTTGTCACTCAAGGAGCGTGTAGTTACATAATAGCCTGGCATCCAACATGTGCCACCACATCATAATTACTCCTTATAAATACGGTAGGAAAATATTCCTCTTCCACTTGAAGAGGTTGGAGAATAAACCATAAACAAATAATCATGATCATCAAAGAATAATCAAAAGACCTAAACACGATAATTATATCGTTGTCCTCAAAGGGTTTTTTTGGCAAATGATTTGTAGGATCTATCAAATCCTGTGAGAGAAAAACACTTAAAACACTTACGGGCTGTTCTCTTTGTGTTTGAATTTTGAATTTATTTTGAGTTTTGTGTTTTGAGTGTCTATTTTGAGATTGTTGAAAATGTGTTTTTTTTGATATTTTGAAAAATTGTTTTGAAAACACCCGAAACGTGTTTTGAAAATTTTTCACTTGATTATAACTAAAAACACTCAAAATGACAAATTTGTCGTTTTGAGTTTTCTTTATAAATTTTTAACTTGTTTTCAAAAACGCGTTTTCGAAAATAAGAAAGAGAACATGCTCTTAAAGTTTTCTACCAAAACTCTAAAAACACAATGAGGAATTTGGATATGAATGAAAATAATTTTATCATTTCTATTTTGAAATGGAATGTAATTTCAAATGATTTCAATAATGATTTTTTAATATAATTTGTGTTAATCATGAGACATCTATATATAAGTCTCAATCAACACCCACGAAATGGTGTCAAAAATCCGCACCAAAAGCCACCAAAAATTCAAACAAGGAAGCCAGTCCAATGGTTATTTTTTAAATATATGTGATCGCATAAAAGACTCAAATGCAGATCATGAAAACCCTGCAGGTATACATGGGATCGCATCCCTCTTGGATTATGCGATCACGTAGCACAACCTTTTGGCTTCCAAATCCATTTTTCATTCCAAATCTGTTTTTATTGATTTTGAACAATAATTTCAACAAATACCCCTCCCATTTTCATCTTTCGTTTTCACTTAAGCAGGGAGCTTGAGTTCTCTACCTAGAGGTACGACCTTAGACTAATTTTTAATTAATTCCTTGTTTTAGTTTGTTTACGTGGGGGTAGATGGACCGATTTGGGAAGAACAAGCTGGAGAAGGTAGAAAGGGGTAGCCTAACTGCTTCCCCCGAGGCCTTGGATTCTAGTGATGAGAGTGTAGATGAGCCAGTGAATGAGATCGAGTACTCCGTGGTGAGCGACTAGGACGGTGATGGATGTAATATTTAAGCAATAACAATTGCAATGTATAATACCTTGGCCCTCCCTTCTTGGATGGGTTATTTATTCATGTAAATGCATTAACCTAGCAGCTAATAATAACATTTTCCCACTTTTATCAATATATGTTAAATCCGTGGAGTTCATGAGCTAGAAAAAGGGTTATCGACATTAAAATTGTGTAGTTTACTCTCAACATGAGGGCGGCAGATGGTGGTCTGGTGATGGCATTGGCGGTTGTGGTGGTGATTAATGGTTGTAATAGTTAGGATATAGCCACGTAGGTTAGGTTTGGAGATGCACATTTTCTTGGATAATGCTTGTTGTGCATAATCTATGTACATAAGGGGGTACATAATATGATNAACCATTATGTGAAAATTTATGTACCCCTAGCAAAGTCCCATTTTCTTTTACTGTAAGGATATATTAGGTATTCATTTCTTTGTAGGTGGTTGTTCTAAAAGAGTTCGAGTTGACCATCTCTTTCACTATAAAGGACTAAAGGTGTCTGAGTTGACCATTTTTGTGGCATATTAAAGATGAAAAAATAGAGAACTACAAGATTGATCACAACTGAACATTTACGAGGACGAATTCACTTTGAATTTGATAAATACATTGCTTATAAAGTATGTGTTCGTCTATGTCCTATGGCATTTTCCGTAGAAATATTATTTTGATGATCTTTATATAGAATAAAGAGTCCGGCATTACTAAATATGAGACTATATATAATCATAGACATATTTTAGTTCATGGACATATGTCATATACCAAGTTATTGCTGCATATCCTGAACGGGCTCTACCACTGAGCTAATAGCTCATCGTGTGAGCCTCCCATTGGGCGCCTTGTAACTTTTCATAACTTTTTCTTTTGTCACTCAACGATGGGACTTTGTCTATTTCTTTTTTCGAGGATTGACGAGTCAAATGATCTTTATTTTAAACATCTTTATTTTAGTGAAAAATCTAAATATATCTCTTATGAGGGTGAACTATTACAAATGAATGATGCTATTTATCCCCACTGGGGTTGAGCCACAGTCTATGTGACAATTATATGGTATTAAATGATAGACTCAATTAATATAGTCATGTTCATTATTGCTCGAGTTCAATCCATAACACGGTGGGGGCTGGTGATGGCGGGCGATGGACAGATGATGGGTAGGTGCTAGTGGATTTGTATTAAAAACAAACACAATATGTTCACATGCTTCACTTACCACCAATTAATCGCCTTTCTATTCTTTTTATGACAGGTATTAATCAGTTTCTGTGGCATGCAAAAAGTTCAATAATTGTGTGTAATTGCTTAATGACAAAGAAAAGATCATCCCAAGAAAGCATCATAAATAGTACTACCAATTTGATTAATCAATAAAACTTACAACTTTTCATCAATTACTAACAAGATTCAATCCCTTCATCGTGCACCAAATATTCCTAGTCAAAAAGGAACAAAGAGTTGCCCTTTATGGCTTTATCCCACATTAGCCTTTTGCTTCCAACATCATCATTTAGTGTGAAGAAAATGGGATTTTCTCAAGGGCATGTAATGCATCTTTCATGGAAGGTCTTTTTTGTGGAATAGATGAAGCACAAGAAAACCCGAGCTTAAACCACGATAACGTGGCTTCCTCTCGGATTGCCACATCCCCCCTTATTGCCATGTCAGCCATCCTTAGAACCCGGTCGGGATCGCAGACAACCAAATCAGTGGTCCATTGTCTCAACTCCCTGTCCGAAAATACTTTGCCAGTTATAAGCTCAAGCAACAAAATTCCAAAGGAATAGACATCCCACTTGGGATTAGGCTTGAGGTTTTTGAGCAACTCGGGTGCATGATAAGAGGAGGAAGTGCACCCGTCAAAGCCTACCGGCGCAATGTAGGGGCTGCCACTAACGGACTGATGATCGTGAACATTATCGTGCGAAGATGTTGATCTCTTGCTACCAAAATGCCTAGCAGAACTGTCTGATTTGTGGCCGTGCTTGCCATATATAAGCCAGTGGAGTCCTAAATCACTGATCACAGGCTCCATTTCTGCTGTCAACAGAATGTTGCTAGGCTTGATATTGCCATGTACATGTTTCTTTTCATGGATGTAGCTCAGTCCCTTGGCAACTCCTTTCGCAATCTTAAGCCGGACTTCGAAAGGCAAATTATATGGAGACGAACCGGCTTTTCCTGAAAAGAAAGATGCCCTTAGATTAACAACTCAATTAAGTACATGTTTGGTACGTAGTAGTCGACAAGAACGAAGAGTAAATAGTGTAATAAATAGAATTTTAGTTTTTTTTTTCCATCCTTATACAGTCGACTACAGTTAAGCCTGTGACTATGTGTTGTAGACAGAACTATGAGCTAGTGTTGCACATGTCTCTGTCTTATTCCGTGTTTTCTATGAACAGGAATTTTCAGAGTTGTTTCCCTCATATGGAGGACCATTGGGAACAACATATGTACCACAGGAGTGCTCTCAATTTTATTAATCACTTATTGTATCTGAAAATAATTAAAAATAGTACTTATGGTCCCAAATTATTCGAAAAACCAGGAACAAAATCAACCAGACTTGGCATGAAATTGAAAGATATGGTACTACATACAAAGAACAATATTTTGCAACTTCTGAAAAATTGATGTCAATACCACAATGCAATTATAAAAAAGTGTAAAAATTTTGCGAGAAAATACAGGCTGAAATTTGAGCTACCCTTGATTTTGAAATGCAAACACGCTATTATGAAAATCTAGCAGCAAATTATAATATGAAATAGATAATAAAAATTCAGAAAGTAGGTAGATTTCAAGGAAAATCAAGAACTTACTGTAACCAAAATTGGCCAAGCTTCCATTGGAGACATAGTCATTGATTACAAGCTTTTCATCATCTCCCCAGTAGAACCCTCTAACAGGAACTAAATTGGGATGACGTAACTTCGCAATGACCTTAACTTGATTCTCGAATTCCTTAAGATTTTCAACTCCACTTTCTCCAATTCTCCTAACAGCAAATGATGTTCCATCTTGAAGCACAGCTTTGTATACTATACTAGCTCCACTAGATCCTAGTACATAAGCCGAAGCTTTTAATAATGTCTCGAGTTCAAGTTGGGTCTCCCCATCAACCATCACAAGGGACCTTTTGTTCTTGCTTTTCTCAATCTGCTGCTTTGAATTATATTCTTGATCATCAATGGCATGGCTGTTATTACAGTCATCACTGTCTGATCCTGTGGCTTCTGATGTTTCTTCACCATTCGCGATACTTAGGCATGACCAAGTTGAAACATTTCGTGCTTCTTTCTCTACTGGTGGTTCTGAATCTTTCTTAAACTGATGAACACTAACTATTGGAGCCTCTTTGCCTGCAGAATCTGCCTTTTTCTTCTTCTTCTTCAATTGATATACATAAAGGAATACGATTGCTAGAACTCCAATACCAGCTAAGTCCCCAACCGCGATGCCTGCTATTGCTCCGGGTTTTAACCTGTGTTGTGGTGGATCTTGAGCTGCATTTGAAGTTGTTGGAGAATGTGGCAGAGGAGTCGAGCCAATTGTTTTTGGTATGACTGCAATAGCAGCAGGAGAAGTATTTGTCGAAACATTGGGTGGATTCGACAGTGTTGATGGAATTGTACAAAGCTTTTTGAGTGGTTTCCCACAGAGATCTATATTTCCTGCATAAGAATCAGTTTTCTGGTTAAATAAGGCCATTGATTCTGGGATTTCGCCTGTCAGGTTATTGAACGAAAGATCAATTTTCGCATTTGCAAGGATTTCCTTCGCGAAATCTGATGGTACTAATCCAGAAAGCTTGTTAGAAGAAAGATTCAAGTATCTCAAATTCCCCCCACCAAATTTAACAGGCAACGATCCGTTAAACAAATTGGAAGACAAATCCAGGACTTCAATATACTGAACTCCACCTGGAATCAGGCCTGAAAAATAATTACTTCTCAAAGAAACCACTGTCAGATTCTGTAAAGAAGTTAAACTTTTTGGAATAGTTCCGGCCAATGCATTTTCAGAAAGATTAAGAACCTTGAGACCGTTTCCTTCTCCAGTGAATTCTTGAAGTCCACCAGAAATTGAATTGCTAGACAGAGAAAGAACCTGTAGTTCTGAAGCATTGAAAAGTGAACTTGGTAGAGTTCCATTCAAGAAATTGTTGGAAAGATCAAGGGACTGGAGATGTTCAATGAAGCCTAAATCTTCTGGTATTGTTCCAAGGAGTTTGGAGTTTGGAAGGACTAGGTTAATGACTCGAAACATGTCTGGGGCACCAGTCGAGGTTTCAACTTGAGCACATGTTACACCAGTCCAGAAACATGGTGTAACATCATTGTAGTCCCAATTATCAAGAACTGATAAAGGGTCACTGAGAATAGAGTACTTGAAAGAAAGCAAAAGAGTTCCATCCAAGTTGAGGCCAAGTGCAGGAACCAAAAGGAACAGAAAAAAAAGTGAAAATGAACTGAAAAAATGATGATTATTACTTCTGGTTCTGCAGTTCATTGTTTCAATAACTGAAAACACTTCAGCACTGCATACTGCAGAGACCCCTATTTGACAAGTTAGAAGGGAAAGAAGGTAACCAACTACGAATATGTTGTTTTGGTCACCAGAAAAAGATAGAAATTAAGAACTGGAGAGAATAAAGAGAAGTTGGTAAGAATACAGGGATGCCGTTGCTTTAGATATTCCCGTGTATCTAGTAATGAACTGGAAGAAGTGACGGAAAAGGATTCGTGGAGCTGACCCCAAATTTATTGAGATGAGAAAATAAGCAGAGAACAATGGGATAATTAGACATTGAAATATATTGGAATTTAATGGAGCATGGGAAAATGCAGTGAATGGCTAGGATTGTACTTCTTGCTGTCACTACTTTGATAAAGCTTTGTAAAATTGAATTCTTTCTTGCGATGATTTAGGAAGAAAAAGCAGAGAGGAATCTTTAGTTTTTATGCAGTTTTGCTACAAGACACTTACAATGAGTTGGACCCCAGCACACAGTTGTGGAGTAGCTAAAGTCCACCTTCTACTGACTTTTTTTCAATCTTTCCCATACCACCTGTAAGTCTTTCAAATTTACTCAAGAGTGAAAGAATAGACAATGTCATGAATCTTGAACGTCGGTTGTAGACGAGACGGTGCAACAAGGTACAAGTATTTTTGAATCAAGTTTCGACGTCATATGAAAATTATATCTGGTTTGGCTTTCGATGGAAAAATAATTCCCAGTTGCACGTGAAGGGGGATTTGAGTGCATCCCTTTCTCATAGTTCATACTTTTAAACGAGACAGTTCAACACTTGATGATAGTATTCTTATTTTAGCATACTCAACACCATTAAGCCTTTTCAGTACAAACATAGGATTATTTTATTCTTCTACAGCTGACCTGTGACTTTGAAATTTTCAAGTTCAGTCTTTTGTGATGCCTGCTAGCTGTAGTCTTACTTCATTTGACTCATTTCAGAATTAGATGCCTTAAATTCAAAATACGGGTATATTACTTCATTTAACTGCTGCTAGCTGTAGTCTTTCGTGTGCCACGGTTCTTTTCTCGACCTGTATGAGACAGGAACTCGTCCCCTATACGTTGCAGAGGTCGACGGTCAAGGTGAGGTTTAATCACCCTTTCCACCGAATTGCAGCCTTGAGTTTTCTTTATCTACTCACTCGTGTTAGAACATTACAAGCTAGGCCTATGATCGAGTTGTTGAAATCTGCTGTCACATTGCTTACAGTTCAAAACATCACCAAATCATGAAATGGATCATTCGGAAAAAAATACCAAAATGGGTCCATCGCCAGTGGTTATGGCGAGTCTGGTTGCTATTCAACTGCTCAACTATGCAACACAAAACAATTCAAGAGTACGTTTGGCTGAGCTTGAAAAAAGTAGAAGCAATTGAAACTAACTTTTTACCAAACACCTATGAACTTTCTAAAAGTAAATTTTCTCGTTGAATTTTTTATTCAATAAAGAATTCTTTACTTTTAAAAAACTACTTTTACTTTTTAAAGGTTTTAATTCAAGAAAAAAAGTTAAAACAAATATAGATAAGAAAACCTTTACAATGTCCAAACATTCCAAAAAGTTAAAAATAGGAGGATAATTGTCTCGGTTTGGCAAACTTTTTAAATTATTTATTAACGGTACACATTTTAATGAATTTAAAAGTATTATTTATTTATTCACCACTTATATATTATTTATTTAAAATAATTTGTTTATAAATTATTTTCAAACGGAGGCTAAGCAAAAGTTGCTCTTTTCAATAACAAACAAAAACATTACATTACATATTTTAAAGCAAGTCACGAGTTGATGTTACTGTTCCCCCATTTGGCCCCGTTACTCGTAATTTTAGTAGTTGGAATATTGTTTGTTTGAAAAATGTGTGTTTAAAAAAGCAGAAGAAATTTTGGGATTATGTGTAATATTATTTTATTGAAAAATCTATGATTGATAAAAAAATAAAAATAATAAATTTTAATTTTAACGGGGCCAAACGGGATTGTATAATATCATCCCTTGTTTGAGCGGTGTACATTCTTTGCCAAATAAAGAGGCTCAAACAAAGGTTGATATGATACTGTCCAGTTTGGCTAATTAGCGAGCCCCACCCTAATGTGAGAGGTTATAAAAATTACAAACTCTGAATGATTGTACAAATGGATTTTTCCAATTTGAATAGTAAATTGATGAAATGAATTACAATTTTGATGGGCCAAACTGGGCAGTATCATATCAGCCATTGTTTGAACCTCATTATTTGGCAAAGAATGTCTTTTTGAAATTTGAATAGTAAATTGATGGAGAATGTGTGATTAACAAATAAGGAATAATTTTGAATTTGCGTATAATATTATTTTACTGAAAAATATGTGATTGAAAAAAAAAAGATAAAAATGTATTTTAAAAATAATTGAGATCAAACCTTTTTTTTTTATTATTTATACATTATGGAGATTGTTTATATTAATAGTAACGCGTTCGTAAAACATTATCTGTCAATTGCACACTTTTCGGCAGAATCTATTATTTGGATTTTTTTGAAATAATATTATATTTAATCTATTTCTTGAAAAAAAAAAAATACAGTGATGCTCCCTAATTATTTATGTCAATTTAACGACTATTGTTGATTGCTAAAGAATTTCACATCGTGATTTACAAAAATCTATGAATAAATTAGAGGATTATGTCAATTTGACAGAAAGTGGTTGACAGATAAAGTGATGTAATGTTACTTGGCAAAATGTGATTGGATGAAAAAACTGACTGTGTTCAAAACAGTTAAATGATCGTGTTTGTTCCACTTGGAGAGAAGATATAGAATCAATAAAACTATTGCATGAATTGTTAGTAAGTCACGATTTTGGGAGTAAGTTCTACAATATCAAGTAGTTACAATTTGGAAATTCCCAAGTAAATATTCAGAATTTTTACAAGCATTCTCAAAATTTTGGGTAAAAAAATAAATAGGACGACAAAAAGTCACGACTCTGCTTGTTGAGGAACTGGGGTGAGGATGGAGAACAAGGCGACACTTTGATTCTTATTTTTCATTATACTAGGTGCAAGTAACGTGCAATACACGTTTGCTTA